AGTAAAGGAAAAAACCCTCTAGCTCAAGGAAAAAAGAATAGTGCCAGTGATCCAAAAGTAAATGGGTTATTTAATGCTGGAATCGCCTTAGTGGGTGTTGCAACTTTCATTATTATTGGATTATAAATAAATCAACATATTTCATTTTTAGAGTTATATGAAAAGTTTTTATATAATATATAGCATTTCATTATATAAATTAATTGTTTTTGTACTTTCAAAATTCATAATTTTATTCGATACATTAGAAATCTCAACTTTTATGTGTAATATTAGCATCCTTTAAAAATATTATGTCATATTAGTAAATTGATAATTTAAAAAATAAAATAAATATATATAGATCATTTTATCTTGTATATATACTACTGTAGAAATGCTCTTTATTGATTATGTTGTGTTTTTGTTAATTACTTATCAACATAATATAAAAACAAATTTGTTTGTATGTGTTTAGCCTTTCGAACTTATACAAAATTTTAAAATTTTTTAATTAAAAATCTATTTTAATGTTATTAATTAAATAAATATATATGTTGTAGATGGATTCTGAATTTTGTGAATCCACTTATGTGGATTTCGAATCCAGAAACAACTTAAGTCGTTCAGATCTCATTTAATAGATCATGTCGCGGTCTCACCACTCACGGATTTATGATAGCAAGGTATAAAATACGTTGCGAACAGGGTTGGCAAGATTATCACTATTAGTTGACGCAGCACTTTGAGGTTGAGGAATTTCGATAGCACCACCTTGTATTGAAATGTAGAGGAAATGATTCACCATATACATTTGTTGAGGTTTATTTTTTGGTCGGTCAACAGTACATTGCCAAGCATTAGCATCAGAGTTTTGAAATGGAGTTTCGAATACATAAGAATATTCAGGCATTAACCTGTAAATAATAAGTAAGTTAGCAAAAATGTATTTAAAAAAAGTAAATATAATAAAATCATTATATAGTATAAAACATAATCATACCAAGGGACAGTATTAACGTTAGCGTTAGTGTCAATAAAGTTAATAACCCGTTTTCCGGATTGAATAATCGCAGCCATAGTAGGCCATGTACCAACAGGTTGTGTGAAGCAATATTGAGTCAGACCCGCTTTATCATATTCAGCTTTGTATCTAAGTGGATCTATATTGTCATAATTTTCCCAAAAGATTGTAATTACTTCATTCGGATTCTTTTGTAAAAAACTGGTAATGTTTTTCAAGGTATTTGCAACAGTTCCTGTATCCAATAAAGTACAACTCGTATGACAAAGTTCAATATCAGATCCTGTCGTCGAGTTGTGTCCATCAAGAAGGAAAACTCTAACACCATCTTTTAACTGCGTTGAAATGTCGAAGAATTGATTTATCGCGGGAACACCGCCATATGCATATGAGTTATGCGTTGCGACAAACGCTACTTGAGAATAGGGTCTACTACATAAATCAGCATATCCATTGCAAACAGTAGGTGTAGTTGTTGTGTTCTGTGTTTTTGCTGAAGGGAAGGAAATTACCGCAATGAAAAGAAAGAAGAATGATAACTTCATGGTTGTTGACTAAAGTCCGTTCAGATAATTTCTTAATATAGCAAAATTTTAGGGGTTATATATTTTTTACCATAACAAATTTACTAATAATAGTTTTTATTTTACGTATTATTTATTTTTTCTTGACAAAACTTAGGAGTAAAGCAGTTATTTGCTATATCAAAAGCCTACCATATACGTTTGCCAAGGCTTACCCGATGACTATGAACCATACGTCAGAACGTAATGTAAATAAAACGAAAAGGAAAGTGTAAAAGCTATTAAAAAATTGCCAAGGCAGCTTATATTCACCGCCGTGAATTCAAAAATGATAAACAGAAAAAAAAGCTGATCAACAGTTTTTTTTTTTTATTGAAAAATACATGAAATACATGTTAATATATGTGCGCATCGAATAATCCTATTATGATATTGTCTCAGGTCTAATATTACAAACTAGGAAAATTATAAATGAAACAGGTTAATTAAATTCGGTTTCACATGACCCCTTAATATGCATAACAATAAGATGTTGTGCGTACATAGTTAAAATTTCATCACAATCTGTGGTTTCAAATTTATTTATAAAGGCATTTTTTTGATTTTTAGATTAATAAGTGAGAAAATGTAATACAATTAATGCCCAGAACATTATTATCACCGCAATTCTCGAAATTTAAAGATTTCATGGTAAATTAGATGATTGATATCACTGATCTCCTCTATATTGATCGACCAAAGATTAACGTGAAAGTCATGTTGCCAGTAAATCGTTAGTTCTAATTATAGAATCAGCGACCTATTTGGTTTTGGTAAATTCTAAATGGGTAGGTCAGGCCCGGTTCAGATCAGCTCTGATCCAGTAACACGGATAATATTTTTACTTGCTATACGTATTACTAAATTATTTACCGTAAAACGCAATGCAAAATATCCGCTGTGACAAATAATGTAGATCAATTTTTAAACTATTATTTATACACCATGTGATGTATAATACACGTGATTTAATTTTTTTCAATAGCATCACACTGTGTGCCTGATCTAGAAAAAGAAATTAACAAACTCTGATTAATATATATATATATGTTTCTAATTCTAAAAGACAGCTATCCTAATCCATAATTGAGCTTTTTTTTTTAGAGATCCAATTCGGATAAATCCTTTATCCGTATCTGATTATCCGAATAATTCAAATCGCTCATATATTCGGGATCATCCGACAGATATTCGGATAATTATTCGGATATCAATAGTATTAGATTCCCGACAATTATTTCACTTCCCCGATAATATTTATTTCTCGATAGTATTTTTTCCCGACAGTATCCTTTCTCAAAACCCCCAGCATGACCACCAAATCGGTTATTTAGTCGTTATTTAAATCTGATACATCCAAATCTCGTAACCCAGCAGTAACGATATTTTTTGTCACATTATAAAAAGAATTTATAAGACTTACTTAAAATTTTAATTACTGTATAAAGTTTTCTTGCATAAAAAGAGAAAAAGCCATGTTCGTCGAAATTATTCAGTGACCTTAATTATATAACATTACATATTATACCATGGAATACTTATGAATTTCGAATTTATTATCACTAAAAAGTATTTTTTATTTTGTTTATTGAAAAGTTTTTTGTCTGGTTCAGATTTGTTGTGTCGTCACTATTTTTTGAATTGGTTTGAAATTTAATTCAATGTTTTTTAACCATTTCATTTGCTGCAAAAGATTATAGGATTTTTCAAGAAGGTCAAATGCCTAGCCAGAATAGCATCAATATTAAATACTTTAATTTAGGGAATTGCTATTTCCACCATGGTAATTTGCTATTTCCACCATGGTTACACAAGATTTTCTATTTTTAGAT